CTCAGACCCAAACCGCAAGTACTGCTCCAATTGGAGCCTTTTGACATTCAATCCTGCAAAACTGGTATGTGATATAGACTGCCGCTAATATACTATCACCTGATCACTAGGAAAACCAGCAGTAATACCTGTATGGTGTGTGGCGCACCTCTCCCTAGACTTACTGCATAATATTGCCCTCCGTATCTTAATTGGAAACAGGCTTTGAAGTAATAGCCTTATCCTCAATATTTCTGTTACTGGCTACGGCTTTGATGCTGGAATCTCAAACTCCCCGTTAAGAGTGGGAGTGACGCCTGAGATTCAAGCCTGAGAAGCCGCCTCCACAACTTTCTTACCCACATACCCTCCGCAGTTGTGATCCAAACCGTCACTCCCTGCAGCAGACGTGACACAAGCTTGGATTGATGGCTACTTTACAACACACACAGGGACCACTGGGAACAAAAGTAGCCACCTTCCAGAAGGAAGGACCGTGTCAGTGCCAATTTAGAGATGATTTGAGGATCTACAAATTTTGAGTGATACACAAATAAGATACATTTTTGTAAATACTTCAGGTATTTGAATGCATTTTTGAAATTTAACTTCTGAGTTTATTGTCACTTTAAGTATATTTCCTCTTTTGCAGACAAATTTAAGAAAACCCCAATAATGTTTTTTATGTGTTCCTATTCACACCACTAAAAATACTATTCTTTCCTTTTACATGTGTCTGTGTAGCAGGCCTTTGGAGCTTATCTGTACAATTTCAAAGTCACAGAAAAACTCATAGGAAGACTAGGGACACTATGAGCTTCCTCTCATTAACATATAATGATTCTAGATCTTTAACCCTTTGTAAGGACAGATGGTGTTAAAATATAGTTTACACTGCTAATGAAGTCTGCCAGCACAATACAGACAGGGTTAATTATTTTAAACATTACCTCCCTACCCCCAATTATTCAGTTTAAAGAAAACCTTTTTTTAAATTATGCTATGTGAGTAAGAACATGTAACAAATATAAAGTAGGTGTAATCCCAATTTGGCTGAGAGAGTGGAAATACATTTTAGGTAAACATGTTATTTTCCCTAATGATTCACTCTACCATCTACCATCAGTAACAGCTCTGGCAGCCTCAAAGAGGAACTTTATCCATATCTTTAAAATTACAAGAAAGCCACCTTTAAAAATGTTTAGTAATGACAATTTAGAAACAAACACTTTTAGGTAATTGCCGGCTTTATGCATACCTTATTTCTCTTTTCTTCTCCAGTCTTCTGACAGTGGCCATTTTTACTAACGGCAGATTAATCCATCTCCCTGTACTTCCTGGATTACAGATTCAATTTCCTAGCAATGCTCTGCTGTTATTAACCTTCCCAAGATTCAACGCTTAGGCATGATTACATAATTTGTGCTAAAGTAGACCAGGAAGTGGATGAACTCTATTTGTAAGCAAATGAAAAACTGCTGATGTGATTTTTAGTGAAAGGGTAAAGGTCCACTTTAAAACTACTCCACCCCTTTTCCCTTTAAATAGACAATTTCATCAAGCAAACAATCAAGTATTTTAAATTAGGGATGTTCAGATTCCAAGTACCATACTCGGCACAAGTACAAGTACATGTACAGATACTTTTCCAGCTCCAAGACCAGACCAGAGAAAAACTCAAAAGTTAGGAGGCAGATGTCATTTTTAAGGAGCATATGGGGCTCCTGGGATTTGTGCATCCCTATTTTAATGTATATTTTTTTTAAATAAATATATACCTTATATGCTGGCGTATAAGACGGGTTTTTAGACCCAAAAACACTGCCCGAAAATCGTGGGTCGTCTTATACGCCGGGTATACTGTATGTAGCTTCGGCTACATACAGTATACCGCCCTGAGCCAATCACGGCAGGCTTTGTATTAATGAATACAAAGCCTGTATTAATTAATGCAAAGCCTGCCGTGATTGGCTCAGCGCGGTATACTGTATATAGCTGGAGGACGGAACCCGGAAGATGGAGGACGCTGCAGGGATCATGGACAAGGTAAGAGACTGTAATCCCCAGTGTGGCTCGGGGTTACCACTTATGGTACTGAAAATTAACCCCCGAGCCACACTCGGGAATACAGCCATGGAGGTTAGTGGGTGCATTTAAACATTATTTTGGGCTACACTCGTTTTATACGACGAGTATAGCCCAAAACCTATACTTTAACACAAAAAGTAGGGGGTCGTCTTATACGCCGGCAAATACGGTATATTAGGGATGCACTGATACCATTTTTTGAAGTACAAGTACTGAAACATTTGTGTTTATTGTCATGTGACAGTTTTTCTAAAACATTACAGACTAATGATTTCAGGACAGCGGTGAAGTGCCAGAGCTAGGTCCCAGCTGCAACCTCTGCAACCGTGGTAGTTTTTGTGAAAATGCCAAGTATCGGCACTGATATCTGAACTGGTATCTAAACATTCCTATTTTAAATGCCTACTTGCAGTGTTTTTCCTTTCAGTTAAATTTTTTTAATTGACTTGCGGTGTGCCTCTGAATTTCTAGCAAATGTGACTACTTCAGAAGAGCCAATTACCTAACATAACCTCCATAGCACAATCCCCTGCCTCCTTGCATATCATAATTCTTTCCTCTGCTGGGAGTATCTAATTATTGTCATACTTACAATACTCATCCTCTGTCCCTCCCCTCACCTCCATAATATGCAGCTTCCAGGGGTGGGGTGAAGGGCAATACTATACAGTGGAACCTACTAGTAACAACTCTGGTGTACTGGGGCCATTGATGTTACATTCAAGATGGTGGTGCCAGCTGTAGTTTCAGGGGTTTTGGATTTGTACCCAAGGGAGGTTTTTTTCAAGTACAAAACATAATGCACAAAATACGTTTAATGCACATTCATATAATGGGAAGAGTGTTGTTAAAATGAAAGGTCTGTTGGCAGGGAATATTTAAAGCTACTCCATTGCTGGATAGAAGAAAAAAAAGTCTAAAAAAAAACATATTAGAGATTTTAAAGTCAAAAGAGTTTTAAGCTATTCCAAATGCCGATTAATCATTCACAATGGATGCTGCTTCTTGATTTTTAAAGGTTTTGGTTTCTTGTAGAATCAGCTTGTTCCCTGAGCACTGGCCCCGTTTAAGGGTGGCTCCTTTCTCAAGCAGAGTTCTGTGTGTGTCTCTACAAACACACAAGCAAAACAAATGACAAACCCACTCATCAATTCGTTACCAGCTTTACAGCAAGGTGCACACTGTTTTACTGTTTGAAGCCCTTCCGTGTGCACCTTGCTGTAAAGCTGGTAACGAATTGATGAGTGCGTTTGTCATTTGTTTTGCTTGACTGATTTGGTGCAGTGATGCATGGGGGGTCTCAGCTGCCGTTGTGATGTGCGGGGTCCCTTGTGCATACCTGTGCCTTCAAGGGAGGTTGGGCTTCCTCCTGACAAACCTGCACCCAATTTAATCTTCTGCCCCATGTGCTCCAAGATGGAGACTCTCATAGTTTAGAGTTAGGACCGCACTATATGGAGGTGCTTTGGCGTGGCTGTGCGGCTTTCACATTTTCTGCAAAAGACGTGTATCCAAACCAGAGGATGCAACCACAGCATACTATTAGAATCTATTAGAAATGTTTCCAAGTTTTTTGATGAAAGTGGAAATCCCCTTTAGATAACTCCTAAGCAGAGATTTGTATGGGTATGTAATGAGTGAACTTTTTAAGACTGTCTCTAAAATGACACATTGCTCAAGTGTCACCTCCACATCTGTTTCAATTTGTCATATAATTACAGCCATGCATAAAATAAAATTTCATCTGTTTTATAAAAAAATTATATTTAAAAATGTTACAGCAAGGAACATTTGCAGCAGTACCCAGAGTAAAATCATAAGTTCTTACATTGCTGGATCTTTTTTAATGTGATGCATCTGGGAAAGGAACACTTACAATATTTTTTTCCTTTGGCAGCATATTTATATGATTATATATCATATATTATTGATATTTATGGAGACAGAAAAGCAGGCTTATACTTGTTTAATGAATAGCCTAAATTCTAGATATATAAATTGATGCGGGCTGCTTGTGTTTCCAGAAGGTAACACTGAAAGATCAAACTGTCTGTTATTCAGGGATCAATTAAAGAGAGAAGCAGAATATCTAATGGATTCTCCACAGGAGAAACTATCATTGTTTATCTGGTGTCAGCCCCCAAAATATCCTTTTGTAAATTATACCTCGCTTCCTGCTGCACATTACAAAGAGCTGTGTGGAAACAAAGTGACAGAATGTTGCTTTCTTAAAATGTTACCAGGGATGAGCGGTTAGAATGCTTCTAAACAAAACAAATGTAAACAAAGAGCACAAGATAGTACAAACAATAGTAAAACTCTACAGCTGCTATAAACAAAGAGCCACCAAGGGCATTTGCTTTGGGCCCCTTCAGGAAAGAACAGCCCCAATTAAAATAAAACCTGGATTGAAGTGGTCTTATAGCTAAGTAGCGTGCAATCTTGTAATATGGAATTAACCAAGTGGAAGAGTTTGCTTCATCCAGCTACTGACAGGATCCAATCAACACCTAATACTTCAAAGTATTTTTTACTTTGTAAGTATTTGTATGTATTTTTTACAACTGTGGGGGTATAGCTCAAATGGGGCTCACCTTCCCTGGGAAAAAGGTAGTCCAGGCAGCAAAGTTCTTTTTAGTCTGACTAGCTTATTAAAAATATGCAAACACATAAACGTCCACTCTAAGGTGATATTCAAAAATGAACATATTGTATAAGGGTTACTAATACCACATTTCAGAACTATATAACATTCTGTTAAGGATTACAAATGGCTGTAAATATTTACCAACCAATAATGTCTTTATCTGCAATCAACTTATTTTTATAGTTCTTAATCACAATATAATCTGTTTGTTATGAGAAACATCAGGAAATAACTTTTTGTTGATATATATTTATATATACACACTCTTTATTTTCCATTTACTTACTTTCCATTGATGACGCCATCTGGGTTAAGCATTGGGATGATCTTAAAAATAAACATTTCCCTCAGAATCTCAGCAATAGGGTCATCGCTAGTAAGAAACTCAAGTGTCCCCTTCATTACCCAACTGGAATTGCTCTCCCCTGGATGTACCCGGGCAGTAAGAACCACATAATGACGACTGCCTGCAATAAAATGAAAAAATATTTAAAATGAAATATTACCATGACGTAAATAAACAGGAATCTATCCTTATAAATAAAAATCTTTATAAAGGTGATTGATATAGTCACATTTCTTGTACATATCTATTTATTATAGAATTTGAGTTTTGAGAAGGTGTTATTATGACTGTAGGTCAACTGTCTGCTATTTAGTAATGTTGCTTTTAACTGACTCTTTCTGTGTGCAGTATATTCATATCATACAAACCAAAATACAAAATCTACATATGTACACCGTAGTAGATCTACAGCGGTGTTTATCACCCCATCCTATAAGTTATTTAGAGATTGTAGTCTTACAACTCAATGGTTTGGGACTGTGGCTTAGATTGGTAAGTATTAAATAAATTCAGAGCTAAAGGAATACCATAACATGTATTACCACTGTAGAAAATGCCCTTCATGAAACGCTCTTACAGAAGTGGTCACAGTTTTATACTGATTACATGGTATACGGTAGTATCTGCCTATACAATGAGTGAATATGATATGTCAGTAAATTTGGCCATAGCAGAAGCACTTCCATTGTTGTATTCTACTAAATTATGTAATATCCCATTTTGGGAAAAAAATAGAATGATTTTTCAGATTACACATTTGGTTAATACTAATAATGATCTGGCCATTTGGTCTTAAGATCAGACAGATGGACTTGCTTAAATATGCCTAGGTTAGAGTGAACTAATTGTTTTGGAGAAAACAATCCACTGATCAACACACAGTTCTATACATTGGTCAGTCTGGCAGTCCCAATTAAAGCAAGGAAGTGACCTTCCTTTGATGGAAAAGATGAGGTGGTGACAGGAGAGCAGTGTGTGCTAAGCTGATCATCAGATAATGTGAAGGTCTGCTGAATGGGTGAGGCTGGCTAAACAGGCCACCAATTACAGAAAAACCTGTGCCCCCATGCCTGTATTTCTCCTCTTATCCAAATCCAACTTCCCCTCACTGTGCTGACCCTCTTGGCCTTCTCTAGCACCCTCCTCTCTGTATTGCTCCTTTGGCTGCCTTTAACTGTTACTTTTGGCTAACTTCAACCTACCTGCACCTCTGCCTTTCCTCTACTGCTCCTTCAACAATTAAATAATTATGATGTGTTACAGTTCACAGGCCTTTACTGGCCTTAACTTGAAGAGCAGCCCTGTTTGAGTGGGAATACTTTTATGACTTAATTTTTTTGGCTACATGAGTATTTTAAAGGAAAAAGGCAAGTTTTGTTTAGTTCATTAAACCTATTGCACATACTTACTATGGCCAATTACTAGCCAGATATGTAATGTAAGGAATCTATACTACTGTCCTAGTTAGATAACTTTATTTTGGAGATTGAGAATGTAGCAGTTTATTGCAAAAAGTCGATTTACAGTAAGTAATATAGATATACAGTATAGCCTTGCAGTTTCTATGTACAGTATTACCAAAAAGAGTTAAAGCTTCACAACGTCCTGGCCTGTGACTCCAAGGGCAAAGGTCCTTTTAACCCCTTGCCAGGATTCTGCTGAACACAAAACAGGGCAAGTTGCGAGTCAGAGATCTATAAGGAAGCAAATAGTGCAGGTGTACTTTAGATCCTGCAATGAACATCTCCCAGGGAATGTAAATTAAATATTGCTCTGGAGGGCCAGAAACCAAGCTGAATGTATAACAAGCTAATAGTTGAATGTATAATAAACTAATTGAGCTTATTATAAAACCATTCAGCCACCCTGGAAATATAGCAATCATCAATTAACATGTAATTAGGTACTTAACATTTTTTTGAACATCCACATAGTCAGCATACTGAAACTGAATAATATATCTTGGCCTCACTGGAAAGCTTACAGAAGAAATGCATATTGTGTACAAATCAGCTTGACTCTCATTCACAGCAGGCTATTCGGAATAGCGAGTTTCTAATTGTGTTTTTTGTATTTAAATGGTGATGGCAAAAGGCAGCCAGCACCAATCTGGTTGCCAAAATAACTGAAAAATATTAGCATCCTCTCCACACATTATCAAGCAATGCTTTTGGAATGATAAATCTCTTAAAGAGAACACAGGCATACTTATCCTAAAGTATTATTCTAGGTTAAATGGACTCTAAATTCCCAATTAATACTGGTTCTGGAATAAAACCTGAACGGTAACATATTATTACTCTCACAACTAGCATTGATGAGGATTGTTAGCTGTGAAATGTTCTCCTCCTTTTCTGTATATCTACTACTGTTGTATGATGTATGAACTATGAAACTAAACTGCATATGGCCATCAGGAGCAGGTGATGCATAGTAAGAAATTTCTGTAGGGGCATATATTTTATGTGGTGGGCTAAATGGAGGTCATTGGTTTAATTATGCTTTTGAATATCTCAGATACATTTATGCATAGGGAACCCTTGCCAGTTTCTTGATGGGTGGTTATTATTAAAGTTACACATTATGTCACTGCTTGTTTTTGGATAAAATATATAATTTGTAAACTGTTCTTCTCTCAGTGCAGCTGGTTGATCATGGATTAACAACAGTCATATTGTCAGTGGATTAAGGGCTGGTGTTTTAGAAAAAAGGATTACTTTAGAGATTTGCAGCCTCTTTATAAGACCCCAAAGTGCCAATGTATAATTTTCTGTGGCCTTAACAGAAAACTAAAGCCAAACCCTTTTTTTTGGCCGGGGATGAGAGGAAACGCAGGAGAGGGTCCTCAGCGTCTCCCACACTGTAGAAAGTGCTGTCTGGCAGTGCCTGCAGAGTCTGTAGTGGCTCCGCCAGGCTAAGCAGTTCCCACAGGTGACTGGCCTCATGTGGTGCAAGCACCTCTCCATGCCAGCACAGCCTTCCCTACTGTGGTGTTTCTACTGCGGGTGGCGGAGCGGTGGTGGAGGGAAGGAGCCGCAATATTTTGGGGGGTGGCACTGTATAATAGATTAATGGGGTCTTGCAATGGAGGAAAACAATTAAAATTACCAGACCCTTGCTGGTCTATGGGGAGTCGGATGTAAATGGACATGCGTCCATTTACATCAAATGATCCAGGTCAATCAGGTCTGCTAAAATGGAACTTTGTTCCATTTTATTTTATGGACCTGGCCAGAGTCAGGGGTAATTGGATGTAAATGGATGCATGTTCATTTAGATCCAGCTGCCCATATAGTAACATTGGGCTTCTGATCCCAATTAAAAACTGACAGTTGGGCCTGATTTGAATGCCCTTGTGAAAGGGCTCTTAAAGAGGATAAACTATCTGCCATATCTTTATTTACTGCACTGAGAAACAAACACTGCCATATGGAATCTTTTCTAGTCCCTTCAATACACAGAAATAATTTTACATGTTACATACCATTACAGGCATGGCATGTGATATACATCACTATCATTAGGTCACACAAAAAATTACAGCTGAAGCATATTGCTTTAAATATGAACATGGAGCATAGTTGTATGAATATTTTATTGTAAGAATTTAGACCGCTTCTATACAATATATTTTGGGAGCTGTATTGTAGCTTGGGATTTACGCTCGTTGCTCTCGTTGTATTAGCTGGTGCAGATTCAGTTTCGACTATTCCTTCTGCTACAATAAGTGTGATTTAAAGTGTTTCAGCAGCCACACACCACATTAAATGTGAGAGACAATACAGCTGCACCACTGAATGTGGCTCATGTGAACCCATAATTGACAACAGCTGCACATGGTATGAAACAAACTAAATGTGCTTTATGTTTCACATTCACTTTTCATATCTTAAATAGCCTTTTTCTCTATACTAAGAAGAGTAAAAGTAGGAATATTGATTACAAAGTCTTATTACAGGTATACAACCAAATTAATTTCTTATAGCGGCAAGTGAGAAGTCAACAGATCTAACAAGGCTCAATGCTCTAAATCAGGGATAGGCAAACCCCGGTCCTCCAGCTGTGGTAATACTACAAATCGCATCATGTTTCTGCCCCTAGGAGTTGCTGTAAGTGTGTTGCAATGCCTCATATAATTTGTAGTTGCAGTACAGCTGGAGGGCCAGAGTTTGTCTACCCCGCTTTACATTATTATACAGAACACACCTATAGCTTTCACCAGGGATGGGTGAATCTGTCCAGGTTCAATTTGCGAAGGGTTCAGTGAATCCTGTTTGAAATTCAGCAAACCCAAACTTAACTCCAGCAAGTCCCACTGAAGTATGGG